GCAAGAGGAGACTGAGGGGGGATCTTGTGGCTGCCTACAACCTTATCAGGGGCCAGCAGCAGGGACTCGGGGAAAGTCTGTTCACCAGGGCCCCCCTTGGAGTCACCAGGAACAATGGCCACAAGCTGAGGGAGGATAGGTTTAGGTTAGATATTAGGAAGAACTACTGCACTGTAAGGGTGGCCAGAGCCTGGAATAGGCTTCCCAGAGAGGTGGTGCTCTCACTGTCCCTGGAAATCTTCAAGAGGAGACCGGATAGGCACCTGGCTGGGGTCTTATGACCCCTCCACCCCCAGTGCTTCTTCCTGCCCATGGCAGGGGGTTGGATTCGGTGATCTGTCTAGGTCCCTTCCGACTCATTGATTCTATATTATTTGAATGGATGCATTCACGATAACACTTAAAATCAGAGCCCACTCATGTAAGGTCTCCTGGCACCATTTCCAAAAGTTAGGAAATTAGATCTTGCCAAAGTTTAGTTTGATTAATACAGGGAAACAGAACAGAATTACTAAAATGGGGATTTGGCTGGAACTCTAGAACCTAACTTAAATTCCGTGCTTCAATTCAAGGTTCCAGATTGAAGCTTTGGGCAAAACCAGCATCTCAAAACTACCAGGCTGCCCCAAGTCCATGTGGAGAGTTAGACCTGTACAGTGTATGAGGAACAAGTGCCATGTTGATTCACCCATCACACTTGACTGACTGTGGCACCTACATATTATGCAATCTACATGCTATCTAGGCCTGATCTTATCAAGTGAGAGCAATTTGACAAAACCCGCAGCTTGAAGTAATGTAACTGCGAGATTAGTAAGTTTTCTAATTTATAGCAAAAGACTAACAAAATGCAAGGAAATCCATTTGAGAGATTGTCTTACCTGTTGGGACTCTTGCAGCAAAAATTTTAGCTCCATTCTTACAGAAGCAAGGCCACCACCTTGTGCCCCATGAAGGCTACAGTAACTTAGAAAAACTCTGAGAAGCGCTTGATTCTTTTGCAGCCACCACTTCCGTCTTTCAGCATGCTCCCTTTTTGCCTGCAACCTCCGTCTTTCTATCTGGTGCCGCTCATATGAACCGATATCTGGTTTATCTACAACGTCTTCGTGATCAAGTAGGTCGCTATCAACTCTGGTATATGTTTTACAGTAGTCTTTGCCACCTGCTTCATGGTTACATATTTCATGCATAGCAGCAATTTCTTTTTCAAGCCAATTGTACAGTTGAAATCTGAGCTTCCCGCCATCTACTTCATAACCAGTAGCCAAAGTCCTAAGTTCAGTCATTAGGATCTTCAAACAGGCTCTGAACTTCAGCTGTTCAGCAATGACATCAACCTCACTGTTGCCTGTTTCAGAGTCCTCCTCTTGAGGTGTCTGTAGTATATTAGTTTCTGAACTTTTCTCATCTTTTCCATTTTCAGATTTCAATTTTGAACCTTTCATTAGTAAACCATCATCACATTCTTCTTCCTCTGAATAATCCTCGTCTCCTCCCCAATCAAGAGTAAGAGGCTCATTATCCAGTTTTAATGCTGGCTGACTCCAGTCAAATTGTGCTGAAGGGTCAGTACTACTCTCCAAAGCAGATGATGCTGAAATTGGCTTTGACCAGGCTATATCACTACTTTTAGCAACATCACTCCTGGCCTCTGCCACCCCATTTTTTCTGGTAGGACTTGGACTGGATTTATCTTTCATTGTAGAAATGATGAGCTTTATTCTTACCTTTGAAATTTTGGAAAGAACTTCAAGAGCTAAAACAGGACATCCAACTTTAAAATGTGCATTTGCAGTAGTGAAGAATAATTTTCTCTCTATAAGATTAATCTTATCAACAAAACTTTTCTCAGTTTTTAGACCTAATGTAGCTAGAGTTCCTTCAGGTGAGCTAAAATATCTTCGGATGAGCAGAGGATGGGTCCGAAGATAGTTGTAGAAACTGAACACCACAGGATTGCATGACTTGATAATAACTGGAGGAATTAGAAAAATACAGTATCTGCTGAAACATATCTTTAGTTGCAGTTTTTTAAAACTTTTTTTGCAACACTATTTGACCATCTTACACAACCTTATCAAAATCTGGAAGCCTAGAAACAGTTCAGCGTATAACTGCAAAAACAATACATAATCACTCATTTGCCGGAAGAGAAGTGATAATTCAAACTGACTGATTAGAAAGATGCTTTGAGATACTGGCCTCTGTTGCTTCTACTTTATGAAATTCCGATAAGTTAAATCAAGAAGAAAGCTGATCTTGGCCAGTGAATTGGAGACTACCCCATGGCAGGGAAGGCTGGCTCTGTCATACCACTGGAGCTAGCAGAGGCCAGGTGAAAGTATCCTGTGTGGATAACTGTTGAGATCTGGGTGATGAAACAGCCTCCTTAAAGATGCATCAAGAAGTAATATATTTAATGTTCTGAAGCTTGCATAAAGGTGACAATACAGTGCTGTTCAGAGATATCTGAGCTAGCTCTGAATAACCGATCTTTGGTACTGGAAAAAGTATAGATGCATTATGCAGCATTCTTTCTAGGCTAACTGGTTCTTCTGAGAAGCAGGGTTAATCATATGCCATGCTAATCCTGCTAAATTGTCTCTGGTACCTGAGCCATCTCATTCACATAGGCTAGGGACAGACATTACACATAAACCGGTTTAAGTGATCAAAAACTGGTTTAAACCTGTAACAGAATAGATTTTCAGTGCATAGAAACTAGTTTGAAAATGGCTGAAACTGGTTTGAGATAAACCTGGTTGAATGTAGCATCAGACTTAACTGATTTGGCTGAAACTGGTTTATGCCATGTCCCAGACCCCTTGCTGGTTTAAGTTAAATCAGAGTCCCCCAGCATCCTGGCATGCTCTCTGGGCTGGGCAGGGCTCTCTGCTCCCTGGCTGGAACTTGGCACAGATTTGCAGACACAGCAGGGTCTACTGGCTTCCCTGTGCCCCCCTCTCACCACTTGCTGCTTAAACAGAGATCCCTTCCTCCTCTGCCACAGCAAGGACTGTAGCCAGCACACAGTATGCTAGCTAATGCTGAGAGGTGTCTGCATGTGGGTCTCTCTCCAATTTCACTGGGGCAGACAGAACAGTGACGGCTTAGGGCTTTTGGAGCTAATCAACAGGTCAGCCAGTAAGCCGTTTAAGAAGTTTGAAGTAATGTGGAGAGAGGCTACTGTTTTGCTAATCAGGAGATAAAGACTGTTATCAGCCCTGCTTCTTCACACCCCCACCTCTGGTGGCTTGCTCGCCTGTCAGTTTGCTGCAGAAAGTACGACGAAGCAGGGAGGGAGATTGAAAAGCTCCATATCATCAACAGATACATGTATTGAACACCTTGCGTCAGAGTGCTAGCATGGGGCTGGCAACACTTCTGCCCCTTGAGCAGCCAATGGGGAAAAGCCTGAGACTATGCAGGCAGACATGCCTAATGAGAGAGTCCTGCCAGGGCCTGACCATGCTCAGCTCCCTGCAGAAGGGAAGGAGGGATGCTCTACCACCCCCTGGCTTCTAGCCTGAGCCACTGCAGGCATGTGCCTCAATTTCCTCAGTCCAGAGAGAATGTCTGTCCAGTTTCAAATCAGTTCAGCCTAGCCAGGTTAGACTAACCTGCAGAGATTGAATCAATTCAGGCTCAGGCTTTTTGAATGCCTGTCCCTAGCCATAGAGGTTGGGTATCCATACATAGAACAAGTGTGCTGTGCACACATACCTTAAATTACTGGAGGCTAACCAGTCCCATGGACAGGGAGCACGTTTTAAGAGGCAAACTTGACTCCAAATGTTACTTAATACAATATGTGAAGGGGAGTATCCAGCTCAAGTGGACCTCCTTATGCTGATTAGGGAAAAGTTAAGACGAGATAAGGCAACTTCTGTTTAGTCTTTTATTATTTTTAACCCTTTTCTTTCTATTCTTTCTGCTGCATTTGAGAAGACTCTGTGGTACAGGACATAACCCAGCCCTACCTGATGGAGGTAATGTATTAGATACTACAATGGGTTTGCAATTTGGCAGTCAAAAGGGCAAGTGAACTGTGGGAGTGCACTCTGAAAGAAGTGTAGTTGGCCACTTTTGTGAAAAAAGTAATCACCCACAAAGAAAGAAACAAGGGACAGCTCACCCCTGAGTTTCAACAAGAAGCACTTGTAAAGAGGGGGTAACTGTATTTTAATATGAAATCCATGGCAACAGTATGCTGTAGCCATTTTACCTATGGATAAAATCAGATCAGAACTAAATGGATAATAAAAAATACTAGCTTTCATTTGCTGAAATCCTTTATAGAGGTTTTTAATTGAGATTTATTATGCAACTGAATTACACCTACTATAGCAGCTACTGTAACAATATTTTGCTGACATTTCATTACTTTACATTTAGGTGTATGCTTTTAATGTCAAAATGCCAATCATATATAAAATTTGCATTTACATACTTAATGCTGTAATGCTAATATATTTTGAAAAAAAGAAAAAGTTTGATATTTTTTCTACCTGGATTTTCATCATCTTCCTTAGGTGTGTGTTCCAATAGAGTGTCCAGTGCTCTAGTGTAATCTTTCATTATCCAATATGCGATACTTCTCAGAAAGGGATCAGGATGCAATTTAGGACAGCTGAATCCAGTTCCATCTTTCTGACACCCCAAAATCTTTTCATAAAGAATGGATGTGTAAGTGAAAGAGGTCTCAAATTCTGATTCATATAAACGAGCAATAACCATCGCCAGCTGAATGTCTTCCATTTTTTCAAGGCACACCTACAGTAGAAAGTATGAAATGCAAGATGCTGAATTTGGGAAGCATAATTCTCCTAAAATATGAGTGAATATATGAAATAAAAGAAATATTTTATAAAAGAAATGTATAAATAAAAGAAACTCTGTTTGGTGTAGTCATGGACTAAAATATATAAAGGCATTTAAAAGGAACACATACAGGCTTTAAGTGTTAGCATTAAGGGTGCACATATCAAGATTTTTGGGGCCGATTCTGATGGCCAATTATTGGCTGATGCTGATCCGATTGCTGATATGGAGTCCACCAGCTTGGAGAGCCCTGTCTGGCTGGTAAGTCTATTGGGGTGAAGGGGTAGAGGGGAGGGAAGGGGCTTGGGGCAGATTAAGACCCCCACGGTGAGGGAGGGAGTGGGGCTGGGGCAGGTGCTGCCCAACCAGGGTGGGTTGCAGGCTGGAGCTGTAAGTGGCTTATCTAGGGGGCGGGTGGCTCCCACCAGTGCACACACCTTTGGGGCAGGCATAAGGCGTGTGTACCCCCCAGATCTGTGCACGGGGCAAGGGTGGGCTGCCACTGCAGGCTGGGACCAGGGGCTGTGTTGGGTTCTTTCTGGCAGTGGGAAGTAGCTGGGCCATGGCTGTGCTCCCATAGTCCCAGTCCCAGCGCTGCTGCCACCCAGCCCAAGCGCAGCCCTGGCCCAGCCCCCACCCAGGAAGAGCCTGGCATAGCCCCCAGCTCACAGCAGCAGCCCGCCCTCGCCCCATGTGCAGATCCAGGGGCCACATGCACACTATGCCTGACCTGGGGGTGCGCACAGCTGCAGAAGCTCCCCTCCCTCCCCATGCCCCCTGAATAAGCCACCTCCAGCTCTGCCCCACACCCCACCCTGGCTGGGAAGTGTCTGCCCCTGCCTCCACCCCACTCTCTCCCTCACCATGGCAGCCTCAATCTGCACCCCCACATCCATTCCCTCCCCTCTGCCTCTTCACCCCAACTAGCTTACTAGCTGGATGCTGCTCTCCAAGCTGCTGGGCTGGCTGCATGATTGCTGTGGCTGTGTGCATGCACATGGCATTTATCAGCAGCATTACCGACCACATCAGCCAAAAAACGCCAACTGCCAATAGTGTCAATTTTCCTTTTATTTGGTGCCAACACGCTATAGACTGATGTATCAGTTCATCTCTAGTTAGCATTGGGTTTTTTTTGCACTGAAACATTTGCAGAATTGTATTATTAGAAAAACAATACACAATTTCTTCTTTGAAACAGCACTGTATTTGTGGCATTTCAAAGAAAACCTGTGTTCTTCGGTGTTATATATATTTAGTAGCATTTCATTTTAATCATGGAAAAATGCAGAATTTGGGGTTTTTAATCAGAGAATTTAACACTTTTATCAGTGAATTTGCAATTTTTAAATAAGAAAACCAGGATCCCTGTTTATAAGTAAGTTTTGAGAACATAAATCTAACATTAATTCTGAAATTCCATAGTACTTCATATTTTTAAACAAGTACCTCAATAGCATCTTTCAGTGAACCTGCTAATAAGAAAAATGCAGCAGACTGTTCAAAGCGTTGTTTTCCCAACAATGCAAATGCATTTTTCAAAGCTGCTTTGCGCCATCTATCTTCACTGAAATTGTGGCTGAAAAACGTGGTCATCTTTTCATCATGCTGAGACCTATGTAAAGAAAGCCAACACACATAATTTCAATTAAATTACTAGAAGTAAAATCTTTTAATAAATTACATAGACATTAGGGCTGGAGGGACCTTGGAAGATCATTGAGTCCACCCCCCTACCCCAGGGAAGGAAGTCAGTTGGGGTCACAGAATCCCAGAAATATAAACGTCCAAATATCTCTTAAAGCAGTCCAGAGTAGGTGCTTGTACCACCTCTGGAGGCAGTCTGTTCCAGGCCTTGGGGGCTCGGACAGTAAAGTTCTTCCTTATGTCCAGCCTGAAACGGTCTTGGAGCAGTTTGTGACTGTTTGACCTTGTCATCTCATGGGGCACTCTGGTGAACAGATGTTCCCCCAGATCCTGGTGCGCACCCCTTATGTACTTATGTCCCCCCAGGGCCTGCGCTTTTCCAGGCTGAAGAGTCCCATAGCTCTTAGCCTCTCATCATAAGGCCTGTTTTCCTGCCTGGGATCATGTGCGTGGCTCCCCTCTGGACTTTTTTCTTTTTTATTCAAGATTGCTTTAGATTAACATTTAATCCAGAAGAGTTGTTTTATATTATTACTTTCATTTGTATTATTACAAATGTTAACGAAACTCACCTAAACAGACCCCATACCACTGCTTTTTTTTTCATGGCAAGGTAAAAAAGTGCAGCATCCAAGGCATCATTATTCCTCTGGAATGAAGCTTTTGCAACCTACGGTAGATGAAGAACAAGTAAAACATACTGTTGTGAGCAAAGAAAGATGCCTTCAGCTATAAATACATATACTCCCTGCTAGAAAGGATAGCGTGGATCATTTTTGTATTGTTTCTATAAAGCTACGTAACTTGTTTTCTGAATGCTTTGCAGAAGTTATGATTTATAGAATTAGTGTGACCTCCCCATGCTACAAATCACCTGTTAAGATTTTTGGAAAAAACAATACTATTACATAGACTTAGCAAACACAAAGGAGAATATTATAACTAAGCAAATAAAAAACCTTCATCTTTGAAAAGCTGGTAAGGGAGTTTTCACCAGCAGTATATACAAGGTAAGTGTTACCTTGCACTTCACCAGCATTACCATTTAGAAAATTTACTCCTTGTTGCTTTGTCCATCATGAACATCTATTTTAGCTTAATTTAATGTTAATGTCTGTGCATCTTCCTAAATGCCCTGCAGGGAACTGGCAACTTAAGTTACAAACTAGCACTAATTTCAAACTGGCACATGATTTCACATACAGGCAGTCCTCGACTTGCAACGTTTTGAGTTACAATGTTTTGCACTTACAACGTTTATAAATTGACACCCTGTTTCAACTTTACGATGTCAGTTTCAACTTTACAATACTTGATCCAATGTGATGCCACACCAGTGAACAAGTTGGCTGTCCAATCTGCAGCCAAGACTCCTGAGAAGACTCCAGCAAAGAACCGTTCAAAAAGTCCACCAAAGTCACCTCAAAGAAGTCCTTCCAAATCAATGTGAAAGACATTAATGTAGTTATATTACTCATCTAAAATTGATCAAATACAAAATTCTGGGGTATTTTTGGTGAAAATAGGGTATCGAGCCTTGGTTCAGGTTACAAATCCCCCATTTATAACATTGTTTCTTATGAGAAAATTGGGTCCGAGTTACAATGTTTTGACTTAAGACTCAGTTTTCAGGAACCAATTGTGTCGTAAGTCCAGGGACTGCCTGCAATGACTTTAGGGCTAAGTACAAACAATCAAAAAGCCAGAGGCAGAATTGATTCAATCTAGGCAGCTTCCTTGAAGCTGCACAGGTTGAACCTATAACTAACTGAACTGACATTCTGTTTTCAGTTGGGAAAGGCGGGGGAGGCCTGCACTGACCCAGGCCAGAAGTCCTCCCAGCCAGGTGCCTGCCCAGTATGGGGGCACCAGGGAGCCGCTGCCTTGCGGGGTTTCTCCCCACCCAAGCCCAGGGTCCCCTAGCCCAGGGCAGCCCCAGGGAGCCAAGGGGAATTCTTCCCCTCCTGAACCCCCGAGCTGCTGTATGTCTCTGGGATATATTGGGGCAGCCTCAGGGAACAGAGGGAAATTCTTCCACTCCCCTGCAATTAGTTTTGCCTCAGACTCATAGCAGCTGAGGCTAAACCGGCTGTGGAGGAGCAGAAGAATTTCCCTCTGCTCTCTTAGGTTGCCTGACACTCCCGGGGCCGAGGCACGCAGTTTTGGGGTTTGGAAGGGGAAGAATTCCCCTCAGCTCCCTGGGGATGCCCTGGGCTGAGTTGAAGGGAAGCCCCACCAAGGCAGGGGCTCTCCAGTGTCCCCATGTTGGGCTGCACGGGTAGGCACTAGGGCTGTGAGAAGCTCCGGTTCCTGTTTCAATTCGGCAGAGATTCAGCACGATTCAGTGGCCAAATCTCCAAATCCAAATCAAATCAGGAGACCCTTTAATCTCTCCGAATCAAATCATAACCCTCCTAATCATTTTGGAGAGATTCCTAAAGATTTGACGATTTGGACACAGACAGAGCTTTAAATGTTTTTTCTACATATCTCAAGGTACCAGGTGGCTCATGAATGCTGAGATGTTGGGGCAGATGGAGTGTCTCACAGGAGCGCAGAGGGTTCCCCAGTGCACTCGGCAGCAGACTAGAAGTGGGCCAGAACTGGTGCCTCCTGGGTCTGGGGGATCCAGGGTCCCCCCACACCCAATTACCAAGCTGGGAGGATGCAGGGGGGCCATGGACCCGGAAGTCGACCAGAAGTACTTCTGGCTCACTTCTGGGTTAATCACCAAGCATGCGGTGCCCCCACACTCCTGTGGGATGCTGTATCCACCCCACCACCACTGAATTCACGAGCCACTCCTGGTACCTTGGGGTATGTAGAAAAAACATTTAAAGCTGTATCTATGGCCAAATCGTTGATTCTCTGAATCAGCATAAAATCTTCAGGTTCAGATTTGGCTGAATTGAATTGGGACAATGATCCAAATCAACGAATTGAATCACTGTCCCCAATTTGGGCTGAATCTGAATCCGAATTGAATACAGCCTGTTTTGCACACCCCAGTAAGCAGCTAGCCAGGCACCCTCCTTCTCCTTTGCTATTCTGGCAGCTGCTGAAACAATCAGCAGTTGGAAGGGGGAGGAAGGGAGGGCTGCAAGGGTTGAAAAGCCCCCACTACAGGGGCTTTCCCTCTATCCACATGCTGTGTAGACCCTGGCTAGGGGGTCTAGGGGTCTGTTTCCCTGCCCCCCCTTTCCTATGGGCTGATGAATGCAGGCAGGAAGCAGGCTAAGGAGCAGAGGGGCAAGGCTGTCCCCACTCCAGTGGAGCAGACAGCATAGCCCAGGGCTGCACAGCATCTTGGATTACTGGCGGACTGAGAGTTAACTTGAACCAGGAAGGTATCTAGGACACAAGTTCCATAAACTGGTTTCACCTAAATCAGTTCATTCTAATACTGCATCCAACCAGGTTTATTTAAACTAGTTTTGGCCAGTTTGAAAGTGGTTTATATGCTTGAACCTGAACTTACGTTCTGTTACAGGTTTAAACCAGTTTCCGATCACTTAAACTGGGTTACATGTAACTTTGCCCCTAGCCAAGGTATGCAAAGATTTACTTATACACTTGGACAGCCTGACATAAACATCACTATCCTGTAACTTTTTAAAGTTGGAGATATAATGGAGAGTTAACAAATGAAAAGCGTATAAGAAGGAAGATATTATTTAAAGCTTATGGTTAGCTAACTGTTTCATATATTAAATTGTAAAGAGTTAACATTGAGTAGTCCAGAAATTATTTGTTCCCAGCTACTTCCAATTCTGGCCTGCATATTTTGCTGCTGGGTAAGAGAATGAGGTAGTTACTGCTAAATAGGACATCCATCAGACACTGCTAGCATTTTGGCATTGATAAGACTCCCTGGCAACAAAAATAACTGAAAAAAAAAGCTAGGTAATCTTCAAACTTTTGGACAACTCCCAAGGTATCAGCTAAACCACAAATGTAAAAACAGGATCCAGGTCTATATAGAAAGGTATCTGGGGGCTTCAGTGCCAAAACCAAACACCTGAAATTCAGTCTTCTAGGCTACTGTGGAATTTTAGCTCTGTAATTCATAGATTTTTTTTTTGTTATGAAGAGTATGCTTTACATATAATTTGCTGTACATATTTCTCAGGCTATACATAATATAGTATACTGTTTTAGGTATGGTTCCAATTACCTTCTCAATGCATCTTCTGAGTGTATTAATATTCCTGACCCACCATCCTATACCCATAGCTCTTAGTTCAGACCACTGTGGGTCTCCTCTCTGAATAGCAGGAATTATGTTGATCAACTCCTCCTCAGCTTCTGAATGAAAAGCCCAGGCAAAATGACAAGTGGATAAGCCTGAATAATGATACAGAACAATTAGCTTTAGAGGATTAAAGATTCTAAGCAATGGAATCAATATTACAAATGAAAAACATAAGAAGGATGACAAATAAGCCATGGTATTCATTTCCTTTTCATCATTTTGATTACAACTGTGAATTTTCTAAATTTATTTTAGAAAAATGTGGCACTGATTTGGGAGAAAAATATGACTACATGGAATTTTCTCAATAAGACGGCATATTAACAAAATGGTGGTGGACTCCCAGGCCTGGAGTGTAGCACAAGGGACTATTCTCCGCAGCAGGAGGAGATGCTGCTGACCAAGGTGAGAGTACCGATTTACTGCATCCCCTTCTAAATGGGAACTCCTGCAGTGCACACAAATTGTGTGTGTGATCACAAGGAGGAAACTGTTGATGCTTCCAGGACTGAGGGAGTGGCATCTCATTCTGGGCGGCTGGGGGGTGCGAAAACTCTTCCCTCCGCTTACTCTTCTGCAGTTGCAGCTCCCTCTGTCACTGGCTATACTTGTTTGATTTCTCTTCATTCTTCTACCAAACCTTTGGGGACTTATATTAAGTGTGCTTAAATGTACTAGTAATAAAGGGCAGAGAGGCTGGTGAAGGAAGTATATTGTGCCACAATAAGGCTAGAGGATATAGGGAAGAAAAGTGAAACCTGTATAGCCACAGCATTTCCTTCAGCTTCAGCCCTAACTATGGCTGTAGCGTGAGGATGGTGATGCTTAGCACAGAAACTATACTGCTCTCACCATTCTTTTACCCTGTCCCATTTCTATACGTGCTGGAGCTATAAGGTTACCCAGAGGAAGAGTGATAGTATACTGCTGTATTAAGCAGATGCCAATCAGGGGCCATGAACATGCTTGTCTGCTGCTTTGGTTCTGCTGCTTTTTTTTATGTCTCATTTCAGAACACTATCCACTCCGCTGCTGCTTCAACAAGAAGCAAGTGACTGGGATGAAAATGAGAAAATAATCCCTCAGTAAAGCATAGATATTTACTAAAAATACAACTTTTTACCCCATGTAGGGGATTGAAAATTTGTAGATTATGCAGTTGGGAAAGTACTTTAAGCTAACAGTCAATCTAAATGCCAGCCTGGGTGGTGTACCACCATATTAATAAAGTTGTGATGTCAAAGTGAGAACAGGTAAACATATGTAGTCTTTAAAGAACCAAGGCTTAAATGAACATCTGATTCCAAATTTATAGCTATGAATACTAGAATCATCAAGTAAGTGTTGAAACATTTTCAATTGGGTCACATGAACATAAAGCACTGCTCCAGGGATTACCTTGGTGAAGCAGCTGAACACGATATAAAGGTGGGAGTGATGTAAGGAGGCACGTATGTAAACGCATAGCCAACAAATAACGCAAGCCACATTCATCTAATGTGTCTCTTCCTACAAAATACAAAAAAAAAAGACTTCTAAACACATGTGAACACAAGTGCCTGTAAATTTTTGGATAAATACTTTTCAATGGAGACACCTAATTGCACATATTTTGTGAGGACCTTAGGGTTCTATGTTTTAAGTTCTATGTTTTAAAGTGCAAATTATTCAATAGTATTTTCCTCCCAAATGCAAAGTATGTAGAAAATTCTGAAAATGCTACAATCTTCCTATTTAATAGTGTGTTTATTTCTTTTTTGACAGACTAAAATATTTATATTCAATTACCATTAGGTAACAAGGCATTACAATCACTCTGTAACACATGGCTTGTCTTCAAAATCTGGAACCAGGAAGTTACCTAAGACACAAGTTCCACAAGTGTAGCTACTTGCTACAGCATCATTAAAATTTTATCTTAATATCTGCTGTTTTAACCGCAGCATAAAAAGTTATGCTACTTTTTATCAAAAAATAAACAGAAGTTTTAAATGTTAGGTTACTTTCATCTGTGTCCCTATACACAAATCAACAGCTGTATCAGTGAATTTTACTTACTTCTGTTGCAACTATCATTACTGTATCTGACCACTTTACAAAGATCAAATATTGCTTACAAATGGCACAAACTAAATAAATGATACAATCCTACTACTGACACTTATTCTCAATAACGGGGGAAAAATTAAACAAAAACATCTTGGAGAATTTTCTAAAAATTTCCATAGTTGGACTCTTGACTGTAAACAGAAGGATATTTCAGAACACAGGGCCTTCCATTCAGAAGAACCTGCTGCCTTCACTTCAGAAGGTATCTGAGTGATACAGCAAAATCTTCACAGCTGAACACATTTGCTGAAATGAGAATATTAAATGGTTTAGACCTTGTAAAGAGCTTGTAGGTACAACCTTTATTTTTGCATTTTAGGATAATTATTAATTTTAGCTCAGTTCCTAATGACTGTGCTCCATAACATGTCACTAGTGTTTTCATAAAGGACAGAAATAAAATAGGCACAGGAACTGAATTCATCCTTCTGCTTACTACCAGACCAAGATTCAGTTACACTGGGCACGTCTACATGCGATGCTGACTGCACAGTAGCGTTGCATGGCAAAAACCATGCCGAGACCCTACTGTGCAGTAGTGTCACTTACAAGGCATATGCACATTTATTTAGTACTTGTGCACATTTATTTAGTACTTGCTTATACAAGTATTAAATAAATGCACAGTAATGTCTCCTGCTGAGGAGGAACATGTGGGAAAAGCTTGCCCACCATTGCTTCTGCTATATCTGCTCTAAATATGTGGTGTTAGGTTCTAGCTTTATTAACCCAGCACCTTTTTATGGGTACCTAAGTTTGCCTAATACTATGAATAATCATGATAACCAATTTTGTATTTGTCAGCTGAAATACATGAACAGTAATTAGAAAACAGTCATCACTAACCTGAGTAAGTCTTATCTCTGTTCTCATCAAGTTCAGTGCTTGTTGTAGCCACAGTGTCGGCCAAAGCTACAAGGAACATCTGCTCCAGACGGGTGAGGCCTGGCAAGCTTGAGTGCATTAGATGACTTGAGAGGACGCTAGCATGTTCTCGGCCAAAGTAAGTTGGCCCATATTGAGAGAGATTAATTACTTTGGATTTACTCTCTCTCTTTTCAGGCTCAAAATCAATAAAGTCATCGGTTGTGACAGACTGCGTCTGGAACAGATCTGAGTATTGATCCCCTGGTTTTCTGTTAGTGATATCTTCAGAGCCTGGAGTTACTTTAGAAGTTTCTTCAGAAATTTTGTATGTGGTATCTTGATCTGCAGCAAGCAGTGCGTACAATGGCAATGGGGGAATAGAATCTATCTCTGTATAGTCTCGGGTACCATCTTTTCCAGCTGTAATTGTGTCTTTTGCAGTACTACCACTTACACTAATGGTTCGGGAGAGATGACGTTTAGGTCCACCACCTTCCCCAGCTTCTGCATCTTTAACTATTGCAACTTCTCCTGCAATACATTTAACTAAATGGGACAGTATGGCTTTGGCTCGTCGAACTTTACCCAAATCCATCAGTTCTAATAGCTGGGTTGGGTGATACTGCGGGAGAGTAGGGGAAAGGACATGCGCAGCTTCAAAAAGGCCACCATCCTGAATTACAGTTGGAGTGCCAAAAATATCATCAACAATACCTGCCCCATCAATTACACGGGACTTATTTACTATCAAGCTTGTTTTAAATGGATCTTGATTTGCTGAGTCTTCAGTGGTAAAAGCATCACCTTCACCATCACCAAATTTGACAGCATGTTTCCACTGTGCATATACATGCATTTCACAGTCCATTCCCACTACCAGTATACCATCTCTTACCCAAGAGAGGGAAACTGGCAGTGAAGGAGTGCCATCTACAGAGGACACCAAGTCAATTGATCTCAGCAGTACCCACTTGGACTTTATACCTAGTTTTATGCTACCACCTAGTGGTAAAGTAATAATGGCTACTCCCTCTTTACTGCTCACTTGTTCTGTTACAATTCCTGAAAGTCTCCCATACATGAATATGTTGGCACCCACCCCAACTGTAAGTATATGTGAACCATCTTCTTTTGATACCCAGTCCAAATGTACCAAATGCTTGATATTGGGCATAAGATATTTGTCCTTGTTCAAAAAGGCATCTGATTTACTGTATACAAATAAATTACTATCTACACTGACTCTTGAATCAAGTACATTCCCAACCTTAACTAAATCATCCAGATGAATTGTCTGTTCCAAAACCCATTCAGATCCTCCTGTAGACTCACATTCAAGTATACAAACATGCATAGAAAATTCTTTGGAAACAAAGCCGTTATGCTGTATAGGCTGTTTGTATGCCACAGCAAGGCGTCCTGTATAAGAACAGCTAACAGCAACTGGCCTTCCTATTATGCACACTGTACTGCTGTTGTCTTCTCCTTCGTCATTCATTAAAGGCCATTTTCTCCAATGATACGTCTCCCTCATTTCATCTTTACTATATAGATCCATCTCTACATTGCATCTCCAGAACCGCACTTTGTTGTCTGAACACGAAGTTACTACCAAATATGGTGCGAGGCAGACTGGGTATATTGATGAAGAGCTCAGGTGGCCTAAAGTAGTAAAATCAACACAATTCATGATTAATAAAATGAAACACCATGCAGACATTAAAGAAATAAAGCCATTACTTTTGTAACTTAAATGTGGATATGAGGAGGGAAAGAATTGTAAGTTCTTGGAGGTATTTTTTTTTAACATGGGTTAAAATATAGGATAAAAGCATGCCAAACCCATTCTGGGATTGGACATTATGCTGTGTAGACAATGCTGCTTGTGTTCTAACAAATGCACACAAGAAGATGCATTACTGCCATTTCTGAATGCCTTAGGCAATATATGAAACTGTGTGGGAGAGGGGAGTGGTTGTATAAAGAGAGAACTTATACATAGTTTCATAGTAGTTTCATAGTTTCTAGGGTCAGAAAGGACCTGAGAAGATCATCTAGTCAGACCCCCTGCCATGGCAGGAAAGAGTACTGGGGTCAAACGACCCCAGCAAGGTGTTCATCTAACCCCCTCTTAAAGACCCCCAGGGTAAGAGCCAGCACCACTTCTCTTGGAAGTTGGTTCCAGACCCTAGCTGCCCTGACCGTGAAGTAGCGCCTTCTGATGTCTAGCCTAAATCTACCCTCTGCCAGCTTGTGACTGTTGTTCCTGGTCACTCCTGGCTGTGCTCGGGGGAACAGTGACTCCCCCAGTGCCTTCTGATCACCCCTGACCAGTTTGTAACAGGCCACAAGATCCCCCCTCAGCCTTCTCTTGTGGAGGCTGAACAGGTTCAGGTCCCGTAGCCTCTCCTCATAGGGCCTGCCCTGCTGTCCCCTGATCATGCAAGTGGCCCTCCTCTGGACCCTCTCCATGCTGTCCACATCCCTCTTGAAGTGCGGC